TGTGTACTGGTGCCTTATTATGGTGTGTACTGGTGCCTTATGGTGTGTACTGGTGCCTTATGGTGTGTACTGGTGCCTTATGGTGTGTACTGGTGCCTTATGGGTGCCTTATGGTGTACTGGTGTGTACTGGTGCCTTATGGTGTGTACTGGTGCTTATGGTGCTGGTGCCTTATGGTGTGTACTGGTGCCTTATGGTGCCTGTGTGTACTGGTGTGTACTGGTGCCTTATGGTGTGTACTGGTGCCTTATGGTGTGTACTGGTGCCTTATGGTGTACTGGTGCCTTACTGGTGCCTTATGGTGTGTACTGGTGCCTTATGGTGTGTACTGGTGCTGGTGCCTATGGTGTGTACTGGTGCCTTATGGTGTGTACTGGTGCCTTATGGTGTGTACTGGTGCCTTATGGTGTACTGGTGCCTTATGGTGTGTGCTGGTGCCTTATGGTGTGTACTGGTGCCTTATGGTGTGTACTGGTGCCTTATGGTGTGTACTGGTGCCTTATGGTGTGTACTGGTGCCTTATGGTGTGTACTGGTGCCTTATTATGGTGTGTACTGGTGCCTTATGGTGTGTACTGGTGCCTTATGGTGTGTACTGGTGCCTTATGGTGTGTACTGGTGCCTTATGGTGTGTACTGGTGCCTTATGGTGTGTACTGGTGCCTTATGGTGTGTACTGGTGCCTTATGGTGTGTACTGGTGCCTTATGGTGTGTACTGGTGCCTTATGGTGTGTACTGGTATGGCCTTATGGTGTTATGATACTGGTGCCTTATGGTGTGTGGTGCCTTATGGTGTGTACTGGTGCCTTATGGTGTGTACTGGTGCCTTATGGTGTGTACTGGTGCCTTATGGTGTGTACTGGTGCCTTATGGTGTGTACTGGTGCCTTATGGTGTGTACTGGTGCCTTATGGTGTGTACTGGTGCCTTATGGTGTGTACTGGTGCCTTATGGTGTGTACTGGTGCCTTATGGTGTGTACTGGTGCCTTATGGTGTGTACTGGTGCCTTATGGTGTGTACTGGTGCCTTATGTGTGTACTGGTGCCTTATGGTGTGTACTGGTGCCTTATGGTGTGTACTGGTGCCTTATGGTGTGTACTGGTGCCTTATGGTGTGTACTGGTGCCTTATGGTGTGTACTGGTGCCTTATGGTGTGTACTGGTGCCTTATGGTGTGTACTGGTGCCTTATGGTGTGTACTGGTGCCTTATGGTGTGTACTGGTGCCTTATGGTGTGTACTGGTGCCTTATGGTGTACTGGTGCTGGTGCCTGGTGCCTTATGTGTGTACTGGTGCCTTATGGTGTGTACTGGTGCCTTATGGTGTGTACTGGTGCCTTATGGTGTGTACTGGTGCCTTATGGTGTGTACTGGTGCCTTATGGTGTGTACTGGTGCCTTATGGTGTGTACTGGTGCCTTATGGTGTGTACTGGTGCCTTATGGTGTGTACTGGTGCCTTATGGTGTGTACTGGTGCCTTATGGTGTGTACTGGTGCCTTATGGTGTGTACTGGTGCCTTATGGTGTGTACTGGTGCCTTATGGTGTACTGGTGCCTTATAATGTGTACTGGTGCCTTATGGTGTGTACTGGTGCCTTATGGTGTGTACTGGTGCCTTATGGTGTGTACTGGTGCCTTATGGTGTGTACTGGTGCCTTATGGTGTGTACTGGTGCCTTATGGTGTGTACTGGTGCCTTATGGTGTGTACTGGTGCCTTATGGTGTGTACTGGTGCCTTATGGTGTGTACTGGTGCCTTATGGTGTGTACTGGTGCCTTATGGTGTGTACTGGTGCCTTATGGTGTGTACTGGTGCCTTATGGTGTGTACTGGTGCCTTATGGTGTGTGCCTTATGGTGTGTACTGGTGCCTTATGGTGTGTACTGGTGCCTTATGGTGTGTACTGGTGCCTTATGGTGTGTACTGGTGCCTTATGGTGTGTACTGGTGCCTTATGGTGTGTACTGGTGCCTTATGGTGTACTGGTGCCTTATGGTGCCTTATGGTGTGTACTGGTGCCTTATGGTGTGTACTGGTGCCTTATGGTGTGTACTGGTGCCTTATGGTGTGTACTGGTGCCTTATGGTGTGTACTGGTGCCTTATGGTGTGTACTGGTGCCTTATGGTGTGTACTGGTGCCTTATGGTGTGTACTGGTGCCTTATGGTGTGTACTGGTGCCTTATGGTGTGTACTGGTGCCTTATGGTGTGTACTGGTGCCTTATGGTGTGGTGCCTTATGGTGCCTTATGGTGTGTGTACTGGTGCCTTATAGTGTGTACTGGTGCCTTATGGTGTGTACTGGTGCCTTATGGTGTGTACTGGTGCCTTATGTGTTATGGTGTGTACTGTGTGTACTGGTGCCTTATGGTGTGTACTGGTGCCTTATGGTGTGTACTGGTGCCTTATGGTGTGTACTGGTGCCTTATGGTGTGTACTGGTGCCTTATGGGTGTGTACTGGTGCCTTATGGTGCCTTATGTGTGTACTGGTGCCTTATGGTGTGTACTGGTGCCTTATGGTGTGTACTGGTGCCTTATGGTGTGTACTGGTGCCTTATGGTGTGTACTGGTGCCTTATGGTGTGTACTGGTGCCTTATGTGTGTGTACTGGTGCCTTATGGTGTGTACTGGTGCCTTATGGTGTGTACTGGTGCCTTATGGTGTGTACTGGTGCCTTATGGTGTGTACTGGTGCCTGGTATGGGTGTGTACTGGTGCCTTATGGTGTGTACTGGTGCCTTATGGTGTGTACTGGTGCCTTATGGTGTGTACTGGTGCCTTATGGTGTGTACTGGTGCCTTATGGTGTGTACTGGTGCCTTATGGTGTGTACTGGTGCCTTATGGTGTGTACTGGTGCCTTATGGTGCCTTATGGTGTGTACTGGTGCCTTATGGTGTGTACTGGTGCCTTATGGTGTGTACTGGTGCCTTATGGTGTGTACTGGTGCCTTATGGTGTGTACTGGTGCCTTATGGTGTGTTATGGTGTGTACTGGTGCCTTATGGTGTGTACTGGTGCCTTATGGTGTGTACTGGTGCCTTATGGTGTGTACTGGTGCCTTATGGTGTGTACTGGTGCCTTATGGTGTGTACTGGTGCCTTATGGTGTGTACTGGTGCCTTATGGTGTGTACTGGTGCCTTATGGTGTGTACTGGTGCCTTATGGTGTGTACTGGTGCCTTATGTGTACTGGTGCCTTATGGTGTGTACTGGTGCCTTATGGTGTGTACTGGTTGCCTTATGGTGTGTACTGGTGCCTTATGGTGTGTACTGGTGCCTTATGGTGTGTACTGGTGCCTTATGGTGTGTACTGGTGCCTTATGGTGTGTACTGGTGCCTTATGGTGTGTACTGGTGCCTTATGGTGTGTACTGGTGTTTATGGTATGGTGTGTACTGGTGCCTTATGGTGTGGATACTACCCCTTGATGTGTGTGCTTATGGTGTGTACTGGTGTACTGGTTATGGTGTGTACTGTGCCTTATGTGTACTGGTGCCTTATGGTGTGTACTGGTGTGTTATGGTGTGTACTGGTGCCTTATGGTGTGTACTGGTGCCTTATGGTGTGTACTGGTGCCTTATGGTGTGTACTGGTGCCTTATGGTGTGTACTGGTGCCTTATGGTGTGTACTGGTGCCTTATGGTGTGTACTGGTGCCTTATGGTGTGTACTGGTGCCTTATGGTGTGTACTGGTGCCTTATGGTGTGTACTGGTGCCTTATGGTGTGTACTGGTGCCTTATGGTGTGTACTGGTGCCTTATGGTGTGTACTGGTGCCTTATGGTGTGTACTGGTGCCTTATGGTGTGTGGTGCTGGTGCCTTATGGTGTGTACTGGTGCCTTATGGTGTGTACTGTGTGTGTACTGGTGTCTTATGGTGTGTACTGGTGCCTTATGGTATGTACTGGTGCCTTATGGTGTGTATTGGTGCCTTATAGTGTGTACTGGTGCCTTATGGTGTGTACTGGTGCCTTATGGTATGTACAGGTGCCTTAGTGTGTGTACTGGGGTCTTATGGTGTGTATAGGTGCCTTATGGGGTGTACTGGTGCCTTATGGTGTACACTGGTGCCTTATGGTGTGTACTGGTACCTTATGATGTGTACTGGTGCCTTATGATGTGTACTGGTGCCTTATAGTGTGTACTGGTGCTGGTACCTTATGGTGTGTACTGGTGCCTTATGGTGTGTACTGGTGCCTTATGGTGTACTGGTGCCTTATGGTGTGTACTGGTGCCTTATGGTGTGTACTGGTGCCTTATGGTGTGTACTGGTGCTGGTGCCTTATGGTGTGTACTGGTGCCTTATGGTGTGTACTGGTGCCTTATGATGTGTACTGGTGCCTTATAGTGTGTACTGGTGCTGGTACCTTATGGTGTGTACTGGGGCCTTATGGTGTGCACTGGCGCCTTATGGTGTGTACTGGTGTCTTATGGTTTGTACTGGTGCCCTATGGTGTGTACTGGTGTCTTATGGTATGTACTGGTGCCTTATGGTGTGTACTGATGCTGGTGCCTTATGGTGTAAACTGGTGCCTTATGGTGTGTACTGTTGCTGGTGCCTTATTGTGTAAACTGGTGCCTTATGGTGTGTACTGGTGCCTTATGGTGTTTACTGGTGCTGGTGCCTAATGGTGTAAACTGGTGCCTTATGGTGTGTACTGGTGCCTTATGGTGTGTACTGGTGCCTTATGGTGTGTACTGGTGCTGGTGCCTTATGGTGTAAACTGGAGCCTTATGGTGTGTACCGGTGCCTAATGGTGTGTACTGGTGCCTTATGGTGTGTACTGGTGCCTTATGGTGTGTACTGGTGCCTTATGGTGTGTACTGGTGCCTTATGGTGTGTACTGGTGTCTTATGGTGTGTACTGGTGCCTTATGGTGTGTACTGGTGCCTTATGGTGTGTACTGGTGCCTTATCGTGATTTTTATATATAAGCCGCTAATATTCAGTTTTCTAACTCATTAAATAAGTCACAAGGAACTGTGAACATAACTTTGCTCTTACTCTCACCTTCCTGGACGCCTCGCTGCTCCTCCTGCAGCTGGTGTATAGCAATCTGGTTAATAATGACGGTAGCTGTCAGGTCCAACTCCTCCGTGTGGTCCATGGTGGCCTCCGGGAAGGCGGCCGACCAGACCACCAGGACACAGAGGAGAGGCAGCAGACAGACAGACATGACTCTCACCACCACACTCACACTACACACTAACCAACACCCTGCATGACTGCTGGCTGGCTGGCTGGCCACCACGCACTAAGTACACCCGCGCTCAACGCCCACACTGATAGGTAGTGGGGCGTTGAATCACCAGGAAACTCTCCTTCAATATGGCCAGTTCTTATATATGCTTTTACAAACAGGAGAGGTCCAGTGAGAATAATGAGCATAAAAGAATAAGAAAGAATGTAGAGATCTGTTAATAAGAAGGTTAAGCTATAAGAGAACTGCGCCTCACAACCAGGGAGGTTATAACTAACTGAGAGGATTTGATCATAACATCAAATACTGAGTGTAATGTACAAGGTGAACAGGGACAGCTTGTTTTTAATGAGAGAAAGATTAATAGAACATAAGTTGAGGATAGAAACACAAATTAATAGAAAAAGATAAGGACATACTCATACCCTGTATGTGTAGTCAACAAGTAGTATGCACTGGAAGAAGAAGTTGCAGAAGCCACCTCTCTTCAAAATTTTTAAGACAAGATCCGACAAAGAATGTGAACGTGAGAATAGTTAAACTGTAATACAACAAGTACAACAAAGCCCGAGTAGGAGAGGTTTAGAGAGCTACGCTTCACTTACCTTAGCAACACGTCCAAAGACCAAGTCCATTCTATCCAGTGGCTGACCCATAAGACACATTCATCAGTTTTAACATTTTGTTCATTTAAAACAGAAGTTTTCTGAAATATAAATTAGTATATTATCAAATTGTGCATATTTAGGCATTTGTTAGGTTAGGTGTTTAGGTTCTGTTGGCGCTTATTTGTATTTGTATATAAGCAGGTAAAGCATTTACAGCGATGTGGTTCAAACAAAAGGCCTCAGTGAAGCACATGTTCTGGAAGTGTTCTGACGTCATCAGTCGTGAATTGTTGGAAAAACCGACACCATTTACCAACTCTCAAATTAACACATAGAAAATGAGACACAGTGGAAATTTCCGGCAGTAGAAAACGGGGGATGTCATTGCCACATCACTATGAGATTCACCAGCTATATTAATGGGAAATCTTCTTAATACCATAGTTTTTGGACTGTAAACATCTTAAAAACATTTCACTTGAATCAACTTAATTATCAGTACTAAAATAGAATAAATGTAAGCCTTCCATTCACTTCTTGACATCTGGACAACATAGCCGAGGCATCAGTGGAAAGAGGGAGGGAGAGAGCAGTCACCATTAACATCATACCAGTCTTGCTGGGGCAAATCTAGCCCCAATAATTTCCCTTGGAACACAGTGTTATGTGAATAAAGTGCTCTCATTGTCAACACATGATATATGTCTACTATAAGGGGAAGTGTTCTCCGAAACCCATTTATTATCTTTCATTTCTGGTCAGTAATGTTATGTAGCTATAGGGTAAACCGGTCAGAATGCAAAGCGAGAACAAACAACAAGGTGATAGATATTCACCTCTCATTATTTAAATTGCCTCTATTTCCTCTGATATAGCTGTCATATTAGGATTACTGCCAGTACAGTGTGTGCCCTTTGACAGGTGTAATTGAAGAGGAACAAGAATTACTAGTTATCTAGTACTGCAGTACATGAGTTGGCGGCCAGCTTCACAAACAAAGTGTATCAACTGGCTTCTTCATCCGAGTTCATATCTGGTTGCCTAGGACAAAATCAGCCATACAAGATAAGGCCTCCCCATTTAATTACTAATATATGTAGTCTAATACTGTAGTGAATGTCTACCAATCAATAATTTTTATTGCTAGACGAAGTATATAAATAATAAACCCCCCAGAATGTGTAAGGAAAGCGATTTGTGGGAAATTTAAACATCATACAGTCCATTTTAAACATCATACAGTTTACTATCGAAATAAATAAACATAAAAATAAATTCCTATATAAAATACAATAAAGTTTAATATAAATTGCAAAATAAAGCCCACAGGTCAGTTTCCCCACATTAGTCGTGTGTAAACCGTTTATCATTCATAAACAGGTGGTTTGGCGGGTGCATGGATTGGTCTTTGGCCTTCGTTTACGAGGACGCGCTGCCCTTGGTCACTGATAGGTAAGTGCCACCCCCACCCTCACTACCCCACCACCACCTTCCCTACACACACCACCACCATCATCCACCCCACCCTCACTTAACCATCCACTACCCTGCACCTATGCTCTATAAAATACAATATAACATCTCCCACTACCTTCCACCTACACACCACCAACCACCCATTCACCGACGTGGCAGTTCTGACATGGGGGGCCATCTTCCTCCTGTTCAGCGTGTGAACTCCGTGGGCCTGGAGTTCACTTGTAAGGCTGGTTATCCGACCATCGAGATGGTGATGTGTGACATGCTTTGTGTCCCGGTGGAAGCTGTTTACGGTGTGGAGCTAGTTACGGCCCATCGGGTTGTTATTAAGTTCGTGTGGGAGGACGAGTACCGGGACTTCCTCCGTCGGTACGGGGGGCGTACGTTGCCGTTGCCAGACGATGCCGGCTCTATGGCGATTTCGGACCGCAGTGGTGCCCTGACTTATGTCAGTATCCATGGTGCGCCCCTGGAATTCCCTGATGACCTCCTCCGGCGTTACTTCGGGGGCTTTGGTACTGTTGTCAGCATGTGGGTGAACACGCTCTCCTCGGGGCGGTATGCTGGGAGGCGTATAAACATTCGCACGTTGGGGATGCGCCTGCGGTCGGATATACCTTCTTCTGTCCGGCTTATGGGGTACTACGTCCGGGTGTATTATGCCCAGCAGCCTCGTACCTGTTTCCGGTGTGGCCTGTTGGGGCATCAGGCTGCCGGGTGCACTGAGGCCCCTGCTGCTCCTGTCAATTTGTTCCGCGACGAGGATTTCCCGCCGCTCCCTCTGGAGGCAGTCTCTGGTGATGTTGATGAGGAGGTGTGTGTCCCGTTTGCTGTTGCAGCTTCCCCGGCGGCGCCTGCTGTTCCTCCGGTTGTTGCCGTCCCTCCTCCGGTTCTTGAGGTACCGTCGGTTGGTCTGCCTGATCCTGTTGCTGTCCCAGCTGCTCCCGTGGGCCTTCCTGGAGCTCCCTGAGTGACGTCGCTATCTTCTCCCTTCTCTTCTGATGCTGCGCCTGGCCCTGACCAGCTCTGACGATATCCGGCCGGTGCCCAAACGTTCCCGGCGTTCGTCTTCTTCCTGGGCCGACGTTGGTGACTTCAGTGACTGTGGGGCTTCGGATGTTGACAGTGTGGATACGGATGCGTCGATGTCTCCGCGGTTCATGGTGGCGGAGGTCCATGTGCCTGCCGGTGCTGGTGCCTGTGTCTCGGACGTGCCTTCGGCTCTTTCTCCACCGGGGGACTCTCCACAGTGGGGGGTGGTGGCTTCCGCTGTCAGGGATGGTGTGGACTCTGGTGCTGGGCGTGGCCTGGTGGTGATGTTACGGAAGGATGCATGCCGTCCGGGTTCCCTGCTGTCGTCTGGTGGTGTGCCCGGGGCCGCGGGTACCCCTGTGGTGCGGGAGCGCGTTGGGGCTCTAGGGGACGTGTTGCCGGCGTTTGTGATGCCACCGGGTCACTGGTCGAAGATTGCCGAGTTACTGCTGTCTGACGGACCGGAGTGCTTTCGTGGGGGGCAAGTTCCCTTCCTGTGGGGGCGAGTGGGGACTTCTCGCCTCATGAGTACTACCATCTGGGTCCCCAGTTTGCAGGTGTTTGTTGCCCCGGTTCCGGATGTTATGGCGTCCCCGGTGGATGGACGAGACCCTTGGTAATAGGTGCTCTGAGAGGCGTTTAATGTAAGGTTCCCGCGGGCCAAGTTCCCGGGCAAGTATGTGCTCTGATTCCCTGTGCATTTGCTCTGACATGCTGTGTGCCCTTCTGGCTGTTTGTTTGCCCTGTTCTATTCTGTGCTTCTGCCTCTCCCTTTGTGCGTAGCTTTGCCGTGTGGCATATTAGTTTCTAGTGCTTCGCGTCACTCGTTTCGCGTTTTGGCTTGGCATTTCGCCTTTCCTGGCTTTGCGATTCACCCTTAACGGGTACGCCGGGGCGCATCCGATCCCACGATCGTCGTCGCCCCTAACTCAACAACAACAACAACCCGGCATGGTGTGTACTCACCTAATTGTGCTTGCGAGGGTTGAGCTTTGGCTCTTTGGTCCTACCTCTCAACTGTCAATCAACTGGTGTACAGATTCCTGAGCCTACTTGGCTCTATCATATCTACACTTGAAACTGTGTATGGAGTCAGCCTCCAGCACATCACTAACTACTAATGTTGTGGACCTGGGTGTCGCTGCTGACGTGGCTTGTGTCCCGTGTTTCTCCCGAGGGGCCCCTGGGGCCGTGACGGTCTGCAGTCATGGGGGGACCCGGCTGTGCTATTTGAAGAGAAGCTGAAGAGCACTACCATCCCGTAGTGCTCTTCAACTATTTGGGTGCCGCGGATAAAGGGGTTTATTTTTGGGGTGCCTGATTTGATGCCTTGGCCTTGTGCTCTCCTGGTCGACAGGTGTCCGAAGACCTCCAGCTGATTTCGGAGTCTTACTGCTTGCGCTTCACAGCGCGGGAGCTCTTGGATAAATATCAATAGTACTTGTGCTTGATATGTATACTCCCTGTTTTTTGTTTTTGTTGCAGTGTCTGCTATAAGTATGTTTTTTATCCGTGTTTTAATTCGCCCCTTTTGGGCGTTGTGTTTGTTCGTGTGTTTGTTTGCGTTTTTGGTTGTGCCGTACTGGTTGTTTCCTGTGTGTGCTTTGTGTTCTGTTTCCTTGTGCTGTATCTAGTGCTGTTGGGTGTGTGTGTGTGAGTTCTCTGGTGTCTATGTATGTTTTTTTTTTGCCGGTTCCTGCGTGTTCCGTTGTTTGTTTTTGTTCTTGTTTGCATCTGTGGGTGTCATGGTTATGCGTTACTGTCTGTCTTGACTTTTTGTCCTTGCCATGTGGCCCTTCAGGCTGGCTTTTCCCCTACTGTTGTCTAGTGCTCTTTTCCCGTGCTTCTTTGCCGCAGTCTGGTACTGTGTTAATATATATGTAATTGTTATTATGTAAAGTATCATTT